TATATTATTTTCTGTATATTTATTTTCTATAAATATATGTATATATATATATATTTTTCTATATATATTTGTATGTATATATATTTATATATATATATATATATATATGTTCACGTATTCTCATTTTACTTAACCTGCAGATCCGGTTCATTCTAATCCAAAACCGGGCTGGGAAAACGCGTTGTGGCAAATGGTATACGGCATTCAGTGATGAAGATAAATCGAAAATCATTGAAGAGGTGCATGCCCTAGTAACAACCAGAGATCAAAAGCATACGAACTTCATCGAAGTAAGTACCCTTCCGTACGCGAGCTTGCTAGATTATATAAGGACCCGGTAACCTGCGAGCTTGCTAGATTATATAAGGACCCGGTAACCTACCGCTTTTGTTTGTAGTTTCACTGCTTTGTAGGGCCGGCTTAGTTTGTTTCGCGCGTTGAAGTTTGATTATTCAATTTGAAAACTTAACTGAAATTATCTTGCAAATTGGATCCTGGAGTGGAACACTATTCGTCTGTTCGTGCATCCGGGTATGCATAGCGCTTTTCCACTGTTCTGATGGTTGTAACAGCAATTTTGTTGCCCAAATTGATGAACCCCACCCTCATTCTTGCAGTTCCGTAACTACAAGATCATTTATCGTCGATATGCCGGCCTGTACTTCTGTGTATGCATAGACAATAATGACAATAACCTCGCCTACTTGGAAGCCATCCATAACTTGGTAGAGGTCCTGGATAAATATTTCTCGAACGTGTGTGAACTGGACCTAGTCTTCAATTTCTACAAGGTACGTACGATAGTGTTGAATATATGATCAATGTATGGAAATCTGCACACGGAGATATTCACAGGGTTATTCAATTGAATAGCTTAATATGAAAACAGCAATACCTCGTGCGACGCCTATCTTGTAACAGAGTAAACGGCTTCACTCTGTGCATTGTAACGAACATTTTGTCTCATTCAAAATCAAAAAGTATCAAATGTGCGAACCGCTCTGTTTAATACAAACGTGAATAACTTGTGCTTACATGAAAATAAATTTACGTACCTATGTACCTACGAGCATTGTAAACCTATAGAATCGGCCCTGTTGAGGTTAATCATGTAGTGTTGTATTCCGTGCGACAGTTACAATGAGGTACGTGTTACTCCAGGATTGTGTTCATTGAAGTTGATTTCTTTTTCGAATTCGAATTCGTTAATGACTGATAGGTGTACGCAGTTGTGGACGAATGCTTCCTTGCCGGCGAAATAATGGAGACTAATCAATTTGTGATATTACAACGGCTGGGAGTGCTTGAACGGCTGGATTGATGATTTTACTAAACCCCAGGTTTTCGAGCGGTATCTACGGAATTAATGCTGTAAAAATAGGCCGTCAAACTGCTAGGCTTCCTGACCAGCGCCCGCGGTACAACCAATGGTGGGCCGCTGCCACAATCCCCATATCACAGCCGGCGAGAGCTTGACACCAGAGTGTGCACAGATGTTGCGCGCAGTCGCAGAATCTTTGAGCAGAGCGTATTGGAGTTCCGTCTATCACAATTAATCGAGTCCACACATCGCTCCACAAATATCTACAAAAGATCACCTCAGCGCCGCGTTTGTGTATACCCAAATCAGGTCAACGTCTAATCATAAAGTACCAAAAAAAATTCAATACCAATTTTTGTTGCAGACACGAACTTTATTATGAACTCGCTTCGAAATTTATGTCCAAAATGATTGCTATCAAACTTAGATGGGACTGGACGCTGCTGGCAACTGAATTACTGCCCTTGCATCGACTCTGCATTGCACTCAAAAATAAGTATTCACTACAAGCTTGTATAACACCGCTGTGTATTGTAATCTCCATACTATAACGTATGTTGCCATGCACTTCAAACGCGTCGACAACCTAGGTAGAGTCATCATCTCGCTTGACTACGGTCTCCATGACATTATATGTATGCATATTTTGCGTTTGTAAACCGCCACAGTTTATCAACGTAGTAGTATACGAATATTCCGCCAGAGGGTTCCGGTCTTCCCGGGGATGAACGAGGATCGATCTGACGATAGGACAACACACCAAGATGGTTTTACTAATATTTTGTTTTTAAAGAAAAAAACACAACCTCGCGTAGAAAAAAAATACCTTGAATATCTAGGATCCAGGGTTCTAGGGTTCACAAGTCATGCATCCATCATAGCCTCCTAAATTAATGGCACATCCATGTTGTCTGTAAAAATGTAAACACACCATAGGCCATAGGTCATTCGACATCGATGGAAATAAATAGACCGGCATATACATATATTTATCGCCTGTAGGCTGTAATGGCTGTGATATTATGATGCAAGCTACACTGCGTTTGCGCTCAAGGATAGTATTGTATATTGACATCATGACGTTAAGTAGATCTCAGATTACTTCGCAATCCTATCGTCACCTTCTACGGAGCTCGCGAGCTACACGCAATGATCTCCATAACAGCTGTCGATTTGAGACGTATCCCTATCAATCCCGTCACGCCAAAGATTTGAATGGGGTCTTTACAAGACAACTACATACCACAGGCATACTAAGGACACAACCAGTACGATCAAAAGTTGGTAACAACTGCCTGTATTCTCAAATGTCTCTTACTAGGATACGTGGCTCATATGTAGCTCAAGATACTTACACGCCGACCCATACAGTGCAAAGAACATATACGGCAGAGGTCAAAGATTTGGCGAGACAAAGAAAAGTAGTACCGCTGAGTTCCATGAACGACTTGGTTCAGAATGACCTGCATGTTGTGAAGCAAAAGATTGGTGATCACTTAAACAACTCGCACGAGCCTTTGAGTGACACGGCGAGATACTACTTTGATCAGAAAGGTAAAAGCATAAGACCGATAGTTATGCTACTTATGGCGAAAGCATTAAGCAAGAAGCTACCCAAATCTGATCCCCATCATGGTCTGATTAATGATCAACAGTACACACTTGCCATGATCGCAGAGATGATACACACATCTAGTTTAGTACATGACGATGTGATCGACGAGGCCGATACACGTCGTAAAACCCCCTCCGCGAACAAGAAATTCGGCGATCCACTGGCTATCTACGCAGGCGACTTCATACTTGCAAAGGCCTCGATGGCACTTGCCGGTCTGAACAATCTAGATCTGATCACTACGATTGCAACTATCATCGATGATTTGGTGGACGGTGAATTGAAACAGCTGAGTAACGAGGCGAAAGCAAGTCACAAGGTCCGATTCGACCACTACCTGACGAAGACATATTTGAAAACGGCGAGTTTATTTGCTAACGGGTGCTTGTCTGTTGCAACTGCTTCAAAGATGGATGAACAGACCTGTGAATCGAGTCGCAGCTTTGGCCACGACCTTGGCATGGCTTTTCAGGTCTGTAATTTTGATGAGGAGTGTTCAGGTGACCTACATGCCAGTATTTAGATGCCCTCACGCGCATACACACATATACTTACAAATACAACAACACGTACC